ATGCACTATTTGCAGCCCCGGATGCAGCTCTGCATCTGTATGCAATGCAAAGACATGGCCCCAGACGCACCTGTGTGTAAGTGACCGTGTATTTGCTTGTGCTGCGTTCAGGTGCTCACAAATCAGTGCTTTGTGCATCTGTGCACAGCGTTTTGAACACCCATGTGAATGAGCCTCTAGAGCGTTTACCATTTAACTTGGTGAATCTTTTGATTTGCCCTGCAAGGCAGGGTGCTGGTCAATGGAGAGAGATTATCGTTGTTTTGTAAACGGGTTGCTGGTGTTTCGGGTAGTGTGTCTGGACCTGAAGGGCAGCCATGTATCCCCAGTCCACCAGTTGGAGTTGCTGGTGTCTCAGGCAGTATCTCTGAACCTGAAGGGCAGCCATGCATCCCCAGTCCACCGGTTGGGGCTGCTGTTGTCTTGGGTAGTGCACCTGGACCTGAAGGGCAGCCATGCGTCCCCAGTCCACCCGTTGGGGCTGCTGTTGTCTGAGTGGGTCTGGACCTGAAGGGCAGCCATTCATCCCCAGTCCACCCGTTGGGGTTGCTGGTGTCTCAGGCAGTGCGCCTGGACCTGAAGGGCAGCCATGCATCCCCAGTCCACCCGTTGGGGTTGCTGGTGTCTCAGGCAGTATCTCTGAACCTGAAGGGCAGCCATGCATCCCCAGTCCACCCGTTGGGGTTGCTGTTGTCTCAGGCAGCATCTCTGAACCTGAAGGGCAGCCATGCATCCCCAGTCCACCCGTTGGGGCTGCTGTTGTCTTGGGTAGTGCACCTGGACCTGAAGGGCAGCCATGCGTCCCCAGTCCACCCGTTGGGGCTGCTGGTGTCTCAGTGCGTCTGGACCTGAAGGGCAGCCATTCATCCCCAGTCCACCCGTTGGGGTTGCTGGTGTCTCAGGCAGTGCGCCTGGACCTGAAGGGCAGCCATGCATCCCCAGTCCACCCGTTGGGGTTGCTGGTGTCTCAGGCAGTATCTCTGAACCTGAAGGGCAGCCATGCATCCCCAGTCCAACAGTTGGGGTTGCTGGTGTCTCAGGCAGTGTGTCTGGACGTGAAGGGCAGCCATGTATCCCTTGGTCACCACTGATGGGGGTAGTGTAGTTTCAGTGCCTATAAATGATGGGTAGGTTAGCACACGCAGGCGGGCTGCACATTTATGAGGTTTGCTCCATCTCTGTGAAATCTATTACAAATGTCCTCTATAGATGTCTCCTGGCGTAGCAGGCGTCTGCCTTTTTCATGTTGTAGAAAAGCTGGGATGTATGAGTGAGAGCCTAACGCTGTGCAAAGTGAAGGATGAGATCTTCACCCAAAGTGAGACGTCATCTTACAAAGTCTAACCTGCTCTGGGAGAATGTCAACAAATTTGGTTGGTTTTCAAATATAGTTGTTTTTTGGGGGGTTTTGTTATCCTAAATAAGCTTTTGGCAATTGTACGCTGCAAAACACAAGAACAGTGTCAGGCTGTAATTATGCTGATATGTAATATGCACAGAACATTGCTGACCTGCATACGGCTCTTTGACAAGACTCTCTCCTCTGCCTCTGTGAATGTACCTGAAAATAATTTGGCTTTCCTGTCCTCTTTGCACTTGAGGGCAGGAGATGCATCGGAATGTGCACACAGCAAGGCCGGGGTATAGAATTTCAGCCAAGGTTACTGAGGGTTGATGCTGTCAAAGTGGTAATGCAAAGCTCTTGGGATTAGATTGTCCCAATGCATATTTAAATTGGGTGAACAATGGTGTTGCTGGAACAAGCAGTTGTTTTGGGTATAGGTCATCCTGCCCAACTATAGTAGTGTTCTCTTAAAATTCAGAACTAGCGGGTTCTTTCCCTGTGCATGTCGGAGTACATGTATAAGGTCAGGGCAAAATATACAGATATCTGACTCGTAATCAAATACATTTTAATGCATATTTCCCCATTATTTCTCTTTAAAATGGTGGTGTAATTACAGAAAATGACTTGCTGACCTGTCAGAAATCCAGTGAGCTCCTAACTTCTGGGCAACACAGTGCGTTTTTACTGTGCGGAATTCCCATACCAGAGTTGTAACCGCTACCTCCTGGACTACAGAACTACACCCATCTCTGTCCCAATTCATATGCACAGATCACCACCAAAAGACCGGAGCAGACAGAATCTGGAGCAGTTGTCCATCGCAACCATTCAGCTTTCATTAACAAAGCTTGACTGGAGAGAGAAGCTGGAAATGGGGTCTTGGGAGATGTGATTGTGTAGGAGGTGGGGTCTTGGGAGATGTGATTGTGTAGGAGGTGGGGTCTCGGGAGATGCGGTTCTGGAGTTGGGGTCTCGGGAGATGCGGTTCTGGAGGTGGGGTCTCGGGAGATGCGGTTCTGGAGGTGGGGTCTCGGGAGATGCGGTGCTGGAGGTGGGGTCTCGGGAGATGCGGTTCTGGAGGTGGGGTCTCGGGAGATGCGGTTCTGGAGGTGGGCTCTCGGGAGATGCGGTTCTGGAGGTGGGCCTACATCATTAGAAGCTGAGCTCTCCTTGCAGGTCATTTTCTAGACTGATGATGTCACAGGGAGTAATATAATGGAACAAGGTAGAAAATAAAATTCAGGTACATGTTCTATAAACGGGGAGAGGGAGGTTTGGGTGTACATTTGTGCAATGCCTTGCCAAATGCAGATTTTCTCCAGTAATATGTGGGCAGTAGAAAAAAGGTCTAGCATTTATTCTCCGTGTGTGTGTATTTGTTATATGTTCTAGACCTGATATGAAAATTGTGCAATGGCAGGACTATGGAGTGCTATAGTAGTATTCCTGGCATGCAGTAACAGTAGTTGGCTATGCAAAGTCCTTGTTCATGCGATGAGTCAAGTCGCGGGAGTGGCGATTTTTTTATTTTTTTTCTTGCACGTTGTAAGAGGGAAATGTGTTATGAGTCACTTGTGACATGCTGCAACAGTAACCGTAACCTTTGCTAACCGTGCCTTTGGTTCAAAACGGTGGCGTGTGCCACTTTGTTCATTCCGATGTGTTCTGATTGGCAGGAAAGGCAATTAAGCGAAATGTGCGCAGTCCTGGAGCGGTGTTGTCGCCGTCATTTTTATTCCGCTTTTAGATGCCGCTTAAAGAGGAACATTGTCCTGATCTATGAAATGACAACAAACGCGCCTTTTTAGAAATGTTTAGTAGTGACAATCTGCTTCTAGACAAGTATAGATTCTTCTTTGCACACCTTATTTCTCTTTTCTTCCCCATTCTTCTCACAGTGGCCATTTTTACTAAGGGCAGGTTGCTATATTGCCAAGGGATATACCCATGCTAGTACTGGTATCAATGCCGAGAACGAGTATTTGGGCGAGTACTCATACTCAGCCAAATGCTCCGATACCTGAACTTACTGTCAGAGGGAGATTTCCTCTGACCGGCAGTTCCGCGAAGGAACATGGAGCCAGCTACTCAGCCAATCATGAACCGGGCCACGGGTAATGACTCGCCGGCCCCGGCTTCCTGATTGGGAAGCTGGCTACATAGTTACATAGTCAGGTTGAAAAAAGACACAAGTCCATCGAGTCCAACCTATAGAAAAGGAGGGAAGGTCCTTCCTATAGAAAAGGAAGGAAGGAAGCTCCTTCCTATAGAAAAGGAAGGCTCCATGCTCATCGGCAGCTTCCCAGCCAATTGCCATGAAGCTGGCTTCCCGGCCATACCCAGAAAGCTGGGCCATGGGTCATGATCCTCCTCCTGGCTTCCTGATTGCCCGGGAAGCCAACTCCATACTACCGGAAGTATCGGTGCATCCCTAATATGTCCCTTTACTTCCTGGAACTCTGCCACATGTGACCATGCCCATTATCTCAGGGAAGGAAGATTTTCCAGCAATGCTCTGCTAATGTCACGTTCCCAGGATGCAACGCTGGGGGCACATTACATCACTAGGGCCCAAAAGGACCAGGAAGTGGGGGGGGCAGTAACAGGAAGTAAAAGTAATGTGTTAAAAGTATGTGAATGTGAGATGATATTCTATAGCCGGAGCTGAATGCTGATGTGATTTTTTTTTTTTTTGTAAAAGGGGTTAAAGGCGAACCTCTTCAAACTGCTGGCAGGTTAATAAGCATTAAAGGCATATTCCGGCTACCACAAAAAATAATAAATGCTCAAATATAATAAAAAATAAAAATGTGGATTTTATTTCTTTGCATTTCAGCCTGCAGACTATTGCTTGTGGGGGGGGTGCAATGCTCTGCTTCATGTCTGCATTTTCCTGGAAGTATAAAAACTAGACTCAGTGCAGTTCCAAGACTCAGAATCCCGTGTTCCCTATTTTTCTTCCCTCCTGGGATAACGATCATCTTGAGAATCGAATGGCGAAGCTCCGTCGTTTTTTTTTTTATTGCCGTCACGAATTGTCTCCCCGCTCGTTTGCTTTTCAGGCTTCTCTGGCTGGAGCCTCTGGTGGCTTATAAACGGAGTAGATGGGAACTGCAGGAAACATTGTAGTGCTTCTGCGGCCAAACCCACCTTCCCATTTAATGAGGTGTGACTGTTTGGCACGGCTCCCGTCACAAAGTCATCCACATCTGCTAGTTTGCCATAGGTGGACTCTCCAGTAATTGCTTCTTTGCACGTTCCCTCTGAGGAGACTGAGCAGCGCCTGCGGGGGAACGTAGGATTTCTTGAGTGACTGAAACTTATTTGGCATTCGTTTTGGTTAACGCAAACGTTCTTATGGAGATGTATCCGTAGCGTTCAAAGCAGAACTCCGGGCAAATCAGATCTGATCCCCTGCACTGGGGCTACCCCTAAACTGCAAGGGTAAGGTGCTCGTTTTGTATATGGAGCTAAAATAATCAGCTAATAATCAGTACTCACCCGACCCGCGATCCAGGCTTGCTCTTGCACTGCTACCTGCAACCGGTCTCTTCCCCTCCAGCGATGCAATGAACCTCGGCAACCTGTCTCCTCCCCTCCTGCGATGCAATGTCCCTCGGCAACCTGTCTCCTCCTCTGTTCCAGCGTTGCAATGTCCCTCGGCAACCTGTCTCCTCCTCCGTTGCAGCGATGCAATGTCCCTCGGCAACCTGTCTCTTCCTCCAGCGAAGCAATGTCCCTCGGCAACCTGTCGTCTCCCTGTTCCAGCGATGCAATGTCCCTTGGCAACCTGTCTCCTCCGTTCCAGCAATGTCCCTCTGCAACCTGTCTCCTCCGCTCCAGCGATGCAATGTCCCTCGGCAACCTGTCGTCTCCTCCGTTCCAGCGATGCAATGTCCCTCGGCAACCTGTCGTCTCCCTGTTCCAGCGATGCAATGTCCCTTGGCAACCTGTCTCCTCCGTTCCAGCAATGTCCCTCTGCAACCTGTCTCCTCCGCTCGAGCGATGCAATGTCCCTCGGCAACCTGTCGTCTCCTCCAGCGAAGCAATGTCCCTTGGCAAACCTGTCGCCTCCTCCTCTCCAGTGATGGAATGTCCCTCAATGTCTTCATGACTCACAGGACCTCAGACCCTTGCAGTGGAGGAGGAGCAAGGCTGAAGGGAGCGATCGAAGAGCAAGCCGGGATCAGGTTTTAGGTGAGTATAACTCTGTTTTAGCTTTCTAGACAAAACAAACCCCCCCCCCCCAAGCACTGCGGGGGATAGCCTCACAGCAGGGGTTAATATTTGATTTGCTCCGAGTTCTGCTTTAATAGATACAGCAACTCCACAAAACAATAAGGCCCATGACAAAAAATCATTGGTGCCCCCCCCCCCCCCCCCCAACTTTAAGGGTGTAATTACATATA